AAGATAATGCTTTATGTCCACTAGGTCGTGTACGCGTACTTGTGCTTGCAATATTTTCTAATGCACTCGTTATTCTTATATAACAGTCAAATTCTATATACTAATACAAAATTCCGAATCAATTAAAATACATACGATACAACTATGAATAAATAAAGTCTGACTTATCTGTCAAAAGAAAAGGTTTATTACATTAAAAACCATGGAAACATGATTAAATCTAAACGAAAACTTTTATTGGGCCGATTAGACGTATTAAAATTTTAATTTTAACTACAAATAAGCATTGAAGGATGAGGTAAAATAAAATGTCTACCTCTTGAACCTGTACTACGTTTTGTAAATTAAATTACTGCTCTCCTTTCTTCTCTAGACTATAGTTCTGTACCCCAGAGCCAGAGTATGGTAAGTCCAAAATTTTAAGTCACTTAACATATTTACCTAAAATTTGGCCAATTCGGACTTAACATAGGCTGGCTCCGAGGTATAGAGTTTGAAAAATATTTCTCCTGTTTGTTTTCATAGAGCACGCACGTTTCTTAGCCACACGCTATGTACGTACATCTAGAGCTACGAAGGATTGTTCCTTTCTTGCTCTCCCTCCAGCTAGTGGGGATTTTAGAAATAGATGGACGCTGATGGCATTTGCAAGCATTTTACGATTTAGTGTTGCAAGTGACCTAAAAAAAGCTATTAACCAATAGGAACAAATAAACTAGCTTCTTTGTAACCTAGTCTTCAACATATTCTATCTTGGCATTCTCTCCTGTAGTTTTGTTTTGGCCATTTACTTTTTTCTACAGAATGGTATCAATTATAATACTTTTGAACATATTTTCTTTCATTCCTTGAAAATTCCAGACTTGCAATCGTTTCATTTCCTTCGATTCTATCAAATCTTAGTAGACAATCGTGTATTTCAGGATCAGGTCTAAAAAGTATTTGGTTGGCTGCCTTCTTGGTTAGTGAATCAGCAAGACGGTTACCTATTCGATTATTGATATATACTTCGGATTAGTGACATTCTATAGTTGACGCGCCGAAGAGACGCAACAAAAAAACTTGCCTGAACATATGTTGAGGGCTGGGCCCTTGAAACCTCCTTCAAACAGGTTACAGACCAGGAGCAGGTTTTCGTAGATTATTATGGGAGATGATACGTAAAAATACTCGCCTAAACGTTGGAAACACATTTTAAGCTGATGTGCACGTAATAACTGCATCTATTCGACGCGGTGAGTATAGTAATACATCTGAGTAAATTCGTGGTCTGTCCAGATTGAAGTCCAGGTCCTTCTCCATAAATCCATTTTTGTTATTTTCACTCGTGATTAATTTTCCATACTTCTCGATCTATAAAGGTGAGTAGTTTCTACAAGTCTTGTTTCTTCCAACTGTGTAATATACATTTATTTATAGAAGATAGTAGCCAATTTAAAAGATTCGTAACGTATCAGAGAATGAAGTTGAATATCTACAGCTTAAATAAGAATTTCTTTGGAATTGGTTATTGGTCTTTATTGGACTAACTCACGGGATGTGCTTATTTATGAAACAATTAAGAAAAAATACCTTGCAGTAACACGTTATGATATCTGTTCTTTTATCCTAAATCATATACCTATCTTATTGCTCGTTACAACTGTCAATATACACAATCCCCTCCATTAAATATTATTTGTTTTTCCTTGTTTAATTTTTTAATGAAAATTCAGAATTCCCACTACTTAAAGGAAAAAATTAAAAGTCAAGAGAAATTACGCATAAAAGAGTAACCTTGTGTTTAACTTTTATTACATACTTATAGGAAATCCGGTTTTAGTTGTAACAACAAATTCCATTTATTAAAACCCTCTAGAAATGCGGTTTTGTAATTAGCGTTACATTAGTTTAATTATCAGTGCTATCATTACTGTAATTACCATCTTGTGAGGTTCAGTAATTGAGATAGATGATGCGACCACTCTAAAAGTATATACATAACACAAACGATCACATATCTGGTATTTATATGCTTTTTGATTAGATATGAAGTTGACGATTTCGAAAATTACCAAAAATTATAACATTAAACATCCGGAATACGTTCTTTGCTGTCTTTTAGCTTATTTGAATAACAAATTATCAAATTTATAATAAGATTTATAAATATACAGTCTTGTAAACTCCTTACAATGCCTTCCGAGAAATAGATTCACTGATTTGAATTAATAAACAATAGGTTATTCTCGATTTGACCATCGTAAACGTTACTATTCTTTTGGAATAACCTGTTTGTTACATTCCAGTGGTAAAATGGCTTCTTGGAATATGGCATTATTTTAAAATCCCAGAGTTCAGTCGAAGAGGTTCATGGTTGGATATACCAGAAAAGACGAGAAAAGACAAAAAAAAGTTACATTACCTTTTTTTTAATCTGTATCTTAGAGGCCTTCTCTCAATTATATCGGTAATATTACACTTAAAATTTAGGACGGATGGAGTTTAATAATCGAGCAATTCGGTACACAAAGCACTTAAGTCACAGATTGATAGCAAGTATTTTATATTTGAAAATTAACATATCACTAATTTTTTTCCGTAATCTTTTTGATCTATTCCTGAGATTAGATTTCTGTGAAGTAAATTTACATATACTGTGTGTACATTAAAATGCGTGCATGATTTTAAACACTTAAATAATAAATTCTGTCCAGGTTACGTTTGTTCTGAACAGTGATAAACGTCTTAGAGGTCAATCTTTTAAATTCTCCAGTAAAAATGTGTACAGCAACATTTTCTATCCATTATAGGCAGTATTTAAAATCCTTACTTATTTCTGTTTCTGTACTAGCTAAAGAGATACTAGTCTCTTGTCGTTCTTTTCTTTAGTACTTATCTTATTAGTTTGTTTAATATTTTTAAACAAGACTGCTTTATTTTGTATTGTTAACTTAATATACCTATGTTATCCGTATAGTATCTTATCATTATCAAATAATATTATTAAGTTGAAAAAGAAATCGGCATTCCCCCATTTTCCTGGTTTGCATCCAATCTAATAACCAATATTTTATCTTTGATAATTATATCAAATGATAATTCGTAAAGCAATAAGGTGTTTAAATTAAATCAATGGTTTAACCAAAGAAAACCGGTTTTAACAATAAAACCTGTTTTTTTATAAAACCTAATACATATTTCCTAAAATTAACATTTACCAATAAAAAATTTGGAACAAAAACTTAAACAAGACAAACAGGAAGTGTCTCTTGATGATTTATTTTAAATACAAAACGCGGTCGTTAATATTGCCTTTTCATTTTGTTCCTCAAACTTGATTAGCCTTGCAGCCTCTTTCCATTTTTTGTTAAAACTGCATCCACTAATGGGTAACTCCAGCCCCTTAATAAATCATTAAAATTCCGTAAAATTATCCTGCAGTCTAAAATTCCCACCAAGAACCTTAAAAGGTGCTTTCCGTTGGCCTGTTACAAGCATGGGTGGGCCGAGAACCAATATAATAACCGACCACAACCACATATGGTGCACACTGACAACATCGTACCCAAGGATTCTTTCTACGTCACCCACGCTGCATTGTTTCGACTTTTATTTATCTCAGCCGGAAGTAAATACTTGCTTCCACTTCCTTTTCCTATCAACTTTAGAACCTACAAATAACTTTGCAGATTTTAATGATGATAACGATGTTTATTGGGAAAATATCAACGTCCTGGTTCTTGTGTAATCGAAACACTTAAATATTTAGTATTTATATCCAATTAAGTGTAATTTAATTATAATTATTAGTGTCATTTGGATTTTTATTTTATTAGGATGATCTTAGGTCTTTCAGACACTCTTAGTATATCTGTTTTTTTGTAATTTTTTTATACTAATTATTAAGTACCAACTAATCTGTATTAATTGCTTATTTTTTAGTTTAGAGTGTTGTTTATTTTTAGCAACAACAATACAATGAGTAGTATTTACTTATTGGTTCGAAACAGAATACTTTTAAGTAGGTACAAACTATCTGCTTTTTTGTTAGTGTTTCCAGCTCTGTTATAACAATTCTATGGTTTCTAGACAGTACAGTTATTGTTTTTACTATCTTTGAATTTTTGAATGAAGTAGACAGTATTTGAAACCTTAGCGAAAAGACTAACCTAGTAATTAATACCATTAAGTAAAAAATACCTATATAGGTACGTACCTATTAAGTGCAAATGAGTTTTTCTTTAGAAAAACAATACCCGTTCTTCAATCATTTTGATCCCTTTTCAAAATAGTATACATTAGTAGACTATTGTTATCTGCTGTTATCTTTTGAATCTTTGACCTAAGTAGGAATTATAATGTACTTACGATACATATATGTAATTTAGACTATGTAGGTAACTATTAATACTTTTTTAAAACCTATTCCTTATTGTATATTTATTCTCGAATATTAAATAGATTTTGTTGTGAAGAGAAGTGGAATATGCGAGGGAATAGCTTTGGTACCTATCAGTATTTCAACAGGTGGGTATTATATTCTAGGTACAATGTTCAAATAAAGATACTTTATCAGCATTATTCTCTTACTTTATATTTCAATTAGATTATGATGTAATAGTATGTGAGGATCCGGTTGCAGGTTGCACAAACTGTGGCCAAAAGTGTATCTAAATTTCAGGGTTTATGGCGATAAACATACAAGGTCAAAAAAGTTACGATTATCCAAAAATTTCGAAAGGTACAGGCGCCACTCAGCCATACATCAAATTAAGAAAATAGGTTTATTTTAAAGTTTCCTTCATATGTGCATACTTGAAAGTGATAAATTATATTACTTAATTGATAAGGGATTAAAATTAACAGAACATGTCTGTATTATTGTTAATCTATTTCGTCAAAGTCAACAAGTGTTATTTCGAGTGTTTGTATTTGACGGTTAAATGAGGTTATTTAGGTATAAATCGGAGGTGTAAATCGGTGGGTTACACATAGGTATATTGAAAATGTTATAATACCTTTATATTGAGTTGAGCTATTCCAAAAAATATCCAGGTCACTGCAACATCAACACTTTAATCACAATATTGTATTCCGGTTATGTAAATATCGTTAAGTCATTAACTTGAAAGACACACACTTTTCGAAATAATACAAAATATAAATAACTCTTTTAGTCCTATACGCGAGGTAACTGTGACGATCGCCTGGATAGACCGTCACCTTACCGTAGTCGTCAGGAAACTGTTTGTGTAGTTTGTTTTACAGACATCACGTTGGCTGTTACCCGGTCGACGTGGGGGGAGTGGGGGAGGTGGTCATATACACACACACACACACACATAGTTATGTCGACGTTGTCAGATTTACACACCGGATCTTCACTTGTAGAGCCAAATGTGGAGTGGGGAAAGAAGCCGAGACTTCCTATTTGTAACACATGATGTTAATACTACAGGGTGGAGCGGGCAAGATAAAGTAATAGATCTGAGATTTGATGAGGGAGTCAGATACTTTGCGATTGTGTGATTCTGAGTAGGGAGGTGGTTTGTTTTTGATTGTAACCTGTGTCCTTAAATTTGTATTATTTTCTATGTAATACTGATTATTGAGTTTATTAAAATTTGACAGCAAATTGGTAAATATTTTGAATAATTGAATATGTAGGTAGGTATATCTAGTATCAATAGAGTATATTTGTTAATTTTTCTCTAATTCTAGTTCTTTTAATATTCCTTCTTACATTTAATTCGCTTCACTATGACTGTATTCATTTCAATCAATAATTTATTTTCGCCATTAATATGAGAGTGTACAATATAATTAATCATCTACAATTTTGATCACTTTTTTTAATGCTTCTCTACCCGTTTCTAGTTTGGCGAGCAGAAATCGAAGTCGTACCAATGCTCACTGACAGCTGTCTTTTTATATTATGTGCATGCTTCTATTATACTTTCCATGTTAAAAAATTCGTACCTGTAGGTATATTCTAGTCAAATAATTGTCATGTACCTTTGTGTAGTGTCCGTTGGGTTTCCAATTTTAATTTTTTCTTTGATGTCTCCTTCGCGTGTTCTTTTATATTTGACAGTTTTTCATATTATAATACTGCTAGAAGTAGGTACGCAAAATTTCGCACCGAGGTATACCTATGTAGTCTCAAAACTGGATGTGTTATAGACCTGGTCACCCGTGGTAAATAAATTAATTTGGCTTTGAGATAAATTCATTAAAAATTTGCTATAATTTTGAAATAAAAATTACCTTTCAAATGGCTTAATGTCAAAGTTACTTCTATATCTATCTGAATTAGGTTGGTATATAAATTAATTTGGCTCTGAGATAGGTAAATACATTTAAAATTTGCTGCAATTTTTAACTAAAAATGCTCTTTTAAATGACTAATGTTACTTCTAAATCTATCTAAGTTAGGTTGTGATTCAAAGCCTACTGTAGGCTTATTGTCCCATTCTTAGTTTCAAGAATATGTCGTTTTCGACATTTGTTCGGGCTCCGGACATAGTACCACAAAGTACCATTCCCATTTAAGGTTCCGGAAATGGCATAGTATGTGCGAATAGGAGATTCGTCCTCCTCTTCACATATTCGTCAATCTATAAAAGATGTAGGTTCGTTTCTGTTAAGGTTTAGCAGTTGATTTTTTTTGTTACAAAATTCTGCTCTGCGAAGAAGTTCCAATCGGAGTTTATGGTGTTTTCTTTTACCAGTTCTTTTAACATGTGATCTAAAATACAACATGTGGGTTCTGGTCCAATTAGTATTTCTTTAGCTCTCTTTCTGGCTAGAAGTCTGCGTTTTAATAGTCCCTCATGTCTCAGCACCCATTCAACGATGTTCTTGTTATGTTCTGCTAGTGCATGAAGAGAATGTCGACAGTTCAATATTAATTTGGACAGTACTTTTACTATTTTCAGTGGTTTAAGGGATACCCGACTGTCTGTCATAATATAGACCCTCCTAATTTAATTAAGTTGATTGCTAATTATTATAACAATTTTGGTGGGGCAATATCTTTGAACCATTCGCCATTTTTTATACGCAAAGCAAAATAATTATGGGAAGACCAACTAAAAAAATTGGTGGTTTCGTTTTAAAATTTTCACCACCATTCTCTGTTAAAAACACTTCGGATTTCGGTTTGCAAATTGTTAATGCCTGTTTAATTTCATTTTCGTTTGTGTTGTCATATTTATATTTTGTACAAATATTAAACTGAGATTTGAATAGTTTCGGCCTTTTAAGGATGTCTTTAAGCCCACAATACAAAATAAAATCTTGATTATATAAATTAAGGATCCATATTTATTTGGAATTTTATTAGATAATATGAAAACAACACTTCTACTCAAATAACTACGGTAGTTGTTATAAAATAAGTATAGTTGATATTTAATTGATAGATTTAGGTCAGGAGCTGATACAAAGTATCGCTACAGTAGAACTTTCTTTTTTTTTGTATATGTAAAAAGCTATTTTTTGTCCATAAAATCATAAAAGGTTTAAGCGCTGTTAAAATGAGCAGCTCTGGCGAGGTGCTATTAGATTGCATCCTAAAGGCCGCATACTTGGTAAGTTTAAATTTATTGCCAGCTAAATCTCACCATAAATATGAGATTATAAACGTTTTGGATACTGGTGACGCAACACAGAACAAAGGGAAAAATTGTATTGTGGAGGAGGTGTTCCTAACCTATTTTGCTAAATATTTTATGGAGTAAGTACTCTATTATGTTAAAAAGTGTTCTTAAAGTCAAAATAAACTTGGATTACGTCAATATTTCAAGTTTTTAAAAAAGCAAAATATGTGATATCATTCGAAAAAGGCCAACATTTTTGACAATAGAGAATTCTCCTGATTTGTGGAAGAGGCACCTGATCAAATTTACCTTCTAGTAAAAGTCGCCACCATTTTTGGGTTAACCGGTGCTTGAAGGCACGATGAGCTTTGCAAGATAATGGTTGATCACATAGAAGTTAAGGGAAATTTGATAGTCGTCAAAATCGCTGACAGCAACAACAATAGTTAGAATCTTTGTAGTATCAAAAATATGCAAATTAGCAAAAATGATGCATTCCGCAATGGCGTTTTCTTTTGTACAGTATAGACAATAAGGAGCATGTAGTACCTAATGTGTTGGAATAAATTGGGGTTACGGTCCAATTAGTTTTTTTTAGCTTCTTCTTCCTTGTTATGTTCTGCCAGGGCCTGGAGGGACTGTCGGCAGTCCAATATAAATTTGGATTGTACTTCTACTCTTTTCCATGCTCTAAGAGCTTCCGGACTACATCTCTCATAATAAAAACCTTCTTAAGCCTAAATTACTTACAATATTACAAGAATTTGGTGGGAGTTTAACCTTCCACCATTTTTTTTGCTGAAGCAAAAAAGCATTTCGGAAAAACCAACTAAACAAATTGGTGACTTCATTTTAAAATTTTCACCACCATTTTTCCTTATAAACTTACTATATTCTTGATTTGTAAATTAATTACACTTACAAGCTCTGATACATCAATAATAATTAATAAGACCTCGGTGAAAAGTGTCATCACCGTCTGGAGATTTGGTTTTCATAAGTTCTCAACATTAAAAAAAACACTTTAGATCTCATTACGTAAATTATCCCATTGTTGTAGATAAGGGCGCATACGGGAAGCAACTGTCCCTCTTGATTTTCCAATATATATTCCTAAAAAATCTTATTGTACTGTAGTGGAACATTCTTTACTATTATTTGTCCAACCTTTTGTCATAATATCCGTAAGTATAAAATCAGGTTTCGTCCAAATATACAATATTTCGTTTTGCTTTCCTGTATCCGGTTATAGTTCTTGTATAATAATTTCTTCAAGAAATGATTCGGCTACTTTTCATGATTTAAGGAAATTCCGAAGAGTTGTTTCCGAACAATTAAGAATTTCTTTTCGAATTAATTCGTAATGAAGTTTTTTCCACCGTTGGAAAAATATTATTGACTGCATACATTTAATAGACTGTGTCAGTAATTGGATGGATTAAATAATTTTCTATTTTGCGAAATGTACCTACCAATGCCCTTTCTTTTTCTTCTTGATGTAGACGTTCCGTTTATAATTGCATAAACCGTCATTTTGGAATGTTCGTTTAAAATATAGCTTTTTTAATTTCATCTGATGTAGAAAGTTCTGAACACCGTTTCTTCTAGATTTTTCACGATATCTTTGGAATTATACGAAAGATACGTAATGCTATTCTCGTGTTTCACATGTTTGGCATCTAAATTTTGATTTGAATGTTCCTCTTCTGGAACTTGCTCTGCTTCAGTATTACTATTGAACCAAGGACCCACATTTTAACCCAAATATTTATTAAAACCAAAAAAAACCCAAGAAAATGTTATACAATACAATATGTTATACAACAACTAAAAAGTTAATTAAAACTTAGTGACAAAATGGTTTCGTTACCAAATTATACAAAACATTCAGTTAATTCTTCACTACTAATCTTTTGGCTGTATGTGATTTGAGCCAACCTATAGTCTAAATAAAAGAGGAATGCAGTAAAAGTGGAGATTTAACGTCACATTTCATAGGCGTATTTTGCAAAATAAGTTTCTATAACATAAATAAGACCACAGCATATAAAGTGGTATATAGGCACTTCGTAGAATTTTGAATAAAAAAGTTACATTATTTACAAAAAATAAAAATAAACCTTATCCTTCTAACAAGGATGATTTTATGCTGTTAATGGGATTAAACTTTTTTTAATCTCTTCGCATTAAAATTAACACTTAAAATCAAAGATTAAAAAAAATAACAAGTTCAAGAAACATTACCTTTTAATTGAGACCAGCTCAAAAATTGACAGCTATCCGTAAACTAGAACAAATTCAAAGAACAGCATGTCTCAACATAACAGGAGCCATAAAAACAACATCGACCAAGGCCATGAAAGTCATTCTTAGTCTCACTCCCCTTGATATTTACATCAGGAGTCAGGAGGCGCTCAATACGCTCCCACTGCTTCAAGCGAATATGGACTCCGTCTTACCGCGATATATCTTCCCTAAGCCATATAAAGTTGTAACAGAACAAATAGAAGAGCCGGAAATGGCAGATACGATTCATATCTACACCGACGGTTCTAAAACAAAATAAGGCCCAGGATGTGGAATATACTATAAATCCTAAAACCTTAACATAAAATGGGATGTGAGCAATAGTGCCAGTGTAGTTCAAAGAGAGCTCACGGGGATTCTCACAGCAAAAGAAATCACCAGAAACAATA